AAAAATACAAATAAATGTTACTTTACAGTTTATAGTTACTTTCTCACCAAGAATTTTCAATAGAATGAAAACAAACTCTGGCTTATTATGGAACAGGTTTTGGTATGCTCTGCTTTCATTAGATGTTTCCTGTACTAAAATAGTTTTTGCTTTGGAAGCCCCGCCACTGCAAGACTTTGAAGCACATGCTGAAGATAACTGTAAACAACCCTGCAGAAGAATGTAGCAGAAAGATGACATGGTCCTAGTTATTCCAATCTCATTAACTGGGCAAGCAGAGCAGTGATTGAGGCAGCTTGCAGAACATAAGGAAGAGTTTTCCCCCCAAAAGGCTGCTCAACAGAACCCACCACCATAACACAAATGCAGATGTCACTCTGAGAAAGTCACGTCCTGTCACATAGGCAAGCATTAAACAAAGAACTGGGACATCTAGGAGAGTAAGCCCCAACTCTCAGTTTCTTCCTCACCCAGCAATATTCTGCTCGGTTCTGTCAAACAGCAGGAGCTGATCCAAGTTTATGGCCTTGTTATCAAGGATGGTGACATATGGTTCAGCTACATGTGGAATATTATTTTCTTTAGATCAGCTGTAATGTTATCTTGATAGTTACTATGAGAAAAATTGGACAACAGCTGTTTTGCTAGATACACATTATAATTAGCTGAAGACCAACAATTTTGTACCTTCACAGGTTCTTATCAGAGAATAACTCTTGTTCACATGGTGAAAAACACGCAGCAGCATCAAAACCAGCCAGGGCAGCTGCGAATAACTGCCATGTCGAACCTGTAGAGAAAAGTCCTGAAAACACTAATACAGCAGCTTTCTTGGTGCTTTTTTTTTTCCTATGACATTCCTAATTCAGCCAAAGGCATTGGCCCAAAGTGTGTGAAAAGAGGAACAGAGTCAAATCATAAGAGATCAAAACACTCCAGATCTACTCACAGAGAAAACCACACTGTGAGCCTTGTTTCCAACAAAGGTGGGAAAATAAGGGAATCTACAGACAGGAGCGACTTTCTGATGAGCCCAGTTCCACACTAATAATTTATTTATTAGGAAATCTATGCAGTATGTACATGCAAAGAGATGAAAAGAAGACTGTTTAGTAACTAATTGGAAAACACAGATGTCTGCCTAAGTGTTCAGGCTGTGTTCAGAAGATCATGTCCTAAGCCAACTGACCAGCACCTGGCTTTCAGTTTCATGAAATTGAGAATACCTGCTTTTGGATACCAAACCAGCTGTTCAAGCCTTCTCACACAAGCCACCACCTATAATGAACCACTCAATATGGAGCACAAAATGAGGGGTAGGCTGTGGTTTGGCTTCTTCTGAACACTTTCATTGCAAAAACTGCTGCCAGTAGTATTCTCAGTTACAGATGAAGCAAACAAACTGTGTGTTAAACAAACAAAAGGCTACATCAAATCCTCTTCTGAAGACAACCAGGCCTACAACCAACACAGCAGCATGAGAAGAATATACGAACCCCTGCAAAGCAGAGAAATGCCAAAATTACCACCTGACAGTTATCAGGTACAGCCTGTATGCCCATTTATAAAACATGGGTCTTTATGTGGTGTTTGGAAGCATATGATGGAAATCTCTGTGTATCAAAGACAGCCTTATGTTGTACAGACACATCAGCTGTGCTTATTCCCACAGCAACCAAGCTCTGCAGCTCAAGGGTTGAATTAAAACAACTCTACAACCATTATCATAGTGGCTGTGAAGCACTGCAGCAAGTCTGAACCCAGTACTGACTTGCTGCAAGTTGGAAACTGTGCTCTGCTGAGCTGCCTCACAACAAAGGGTTCAGTTATATTTGTACTTGTAACTCCTGTAGCTTCCTTGTTCCTAAGCAACCAGTGTTCAGTCTTATTCAAACAAGCTGCTCCAGTACTTCTGACCGTGAAATGCCTGAGCCCCTTTTCTTTTTCATCCCAACCAGTTTCAACAGGTAGATCTAACAATTTTGTTTAATCTTCTTCCCCTCCTTCCACTGGAAAGCAGCTGCAGGACAGGGTGCTTTAAAGCTCATTGGTAGCATCAAGTAAGTAGCCTGATGCCTCTCCATGAGACCTGGGAGTGAAAAAACCCAAACACTGAGTTGATGAAGGTGTATCATGAGTCTCCAAAATCACAATAAAGGCATGAAGCTCAAATCAGAAGGTTCATAAGGTGTAAAGTCCAGCTTGGGCACAGAGACAGCTGATAGTTTAGAAGCTGAATCCATACATAACCCACTGCAAATTTAAGGCACTCCTGTAATGTTCTGCTTTCAAGTACTGAGCTCTTGAATTTTACCAAAATTACTATTCCAAACAAAACTACCTTTTTCTTCTCCAGCACCTCAGTGTGAAAAGTACAGATCCATCAATATCACAGTTCCACTGGCGAAGCTTCTCAAGTCAGACACATAAAGTTCAGACAAGTTATTTCACAGAAACCACCATACCCTCTTCTTTCTAGGGCACCCCTTCCTCTATGTACAGAAAAGACAGCTCATGACCAGCCTCTCTCTGCTTTGAGGATGCCATATGTTTATGAGGATTCTCTCATAAACACTACACATACCGCAGTGAATCACATGGTACTCCATCTCTTCTGGGGAAAATGACTAAATCCATCTAAATAAAAAAAATAATCCCAATTTAAAATCCAAAATTCCATATTTTTGTGTATTTCAAACCTCAAATTTCAGCTCAGCACACTTGTTGCAAGGAAGAGGTCTGTTATCAGTCTGTCACTCCACTGCTCAGGACAGGGTTGTTGGATAAGTGATGCAAGGAACAACAGACTTCCCAATAGTTACACTAGAAGCAAAGTAATTGCACTTGTAAACATAGACAGTGTATATACTGACAGTGACAACACAGTGAATGGGAACTACCCATTCCAAGAACTGCAAGCTAATACATGATTACAGTCTTGAGTCAAACTAAAACATCTGATTTTGATGGAGCACAAGATGTTCCCATTCCCACTTGCTTATGACTGGGATTACGAACCTGCAGCTCAGAGGCAAAAGCAAACACACCAGCTTCTCTGTTCATGCAGGTCTGTGTCCAATATTGTATTACAAATCCAGCTTTACTGGCAGTTTTAACAAAACACACTACATGTGAACCCAGGCAACTAAGGAGCTGGCTCACATTCACTTCCACCATCACTGCTGCCAAGACAGGGTGAAGAGGAAGCAGAAATGGCCAGACCAAGAACACCACATATTGTAACTCTAAGCCCAGGGACTGTCTCTCTACAGTTTACTAAATCAGCTACGTCTGCAGGAACTCACACGAGAATGCAGTTAAACAAAGGAGGACTGGTACTCATTTGTTGACTGAATAAATCCAGCTTTTGGTATTCAAAACCTGAAAAATGGTGATCTAAGAACTGAAACTGCCTTTCAGTTAAAGACAATTTTTTTTTTTAGCATCGTTGTCTCCAGTAACTACCTTACAGGTCTCTCTCCAACCTGCCCCCCAAAAGCACTTGGAACCTGCTTCAGCTCCTCATGGTTTGGTACGGTTCTTTCTTCTGCTACCGAATGCCTTTCACTTCCCCGCAACAAACTTCAGTATTTAAATGGACAGCAATGACATCTAGTGGCTTGTCAAGAATTTGCCTCCCACAGTTTCCAGCCCAGTCATGCAGGCAAAAACAGAGCTCTAAGCGTTTGTTTGCTGCTTCCAATCACATAGGCCAACAGTGACTGCATCCAAAATCTCCACAAACTCTTCCATAACACACACACACACACACACACCCACACACACACACACCCACCCATTGTCTCCCCCATCTCACCGCATTTCACCAATCCCTTGCTTGAAGCCATGGAGAGGTGAGGTAGTAGGCAAAGTTTGCTTTAGGCCTTGCCTTCACAGATGAGTATCTTCAGTGTAAATCTATCTACAGGTATTTGTTCTGGTTATGGAGGGCTGGGGCTCTGTGGATATGCCGTTCTCTAGCTGCATTACAGTAAATGGTAGGGGTTATTCACACCGACAAGGACAAGGCCCAAGGGCACATCATTTGTAACAGCTGGTACACAGCTCATTCACAGCTAAAAGAAACCATACAAAGGACTGTGATTTCTAAAATGTAACTGTGCTGAAGTTACAAGGAGAACAGATAAAAATGCTATTCTGAAAGCAAAGAGGAAAAGATCTCAGATTAGATTACAGGAGTACAGTAAATACACTTCCCCCTAAAAACCCCTCACCTTTTCCACTGAGTGATACTACAACAGAAGCACAGGTGAGTGGTTATTGAAACTTTTGAAGCATGTGGCATTGTAAGGAAACTTCAGCAGATATCTTTATATAGCTTCCTGTGCGTGGATCTGGTGCACAAGCCCACAGCCCTTAGAGACTGTTGCATACTAGTCATTAAAAACAAACAAACAAACAAACAACCTAGTTCTACTTTTCTTAAGTGAGACATATTAATACCCAAGAATGGAATCAGTAGTTCCTGAGTAGTATCCTGAGGGTGATAGTAGTTCCTATCACCCCATCTCAGGCAAAGACTTGAAAGCTTTTATTTACTTGCTATGCCTCAATTCCTACAGACACACACTTCTTCCAATCCTATGGACAAGCAGATCTCCCTGAAATGGTCTATAAGCAAATAATATTGCTAATTTGCAGAGCACAACAGAAGCATTTAATGATGCAACTGTTCTCTAGCACTAACAGGAAAAGAATGGAATAATTCTAACATACCAATATATATACCAATATACCAAGAAAGCATCCTGTAAAAACCCAAAAGAGGTGGAACAAGTATTAAGAACATCTGAAGGAAAAGAACTTGAAATGACTCCATCAGAATGAGCTGCTACTCACATTTCTGCTAAAGGGCAGAAAAATGGCCACTTGCCTTTGCTCAGAAACTGGTTTAGGTAAAGGGCTACTGTTGCTTTAGAATGACATATACAACTTTAAGCATCACACTGCTTACATGAAAAGATGATGAATCAGCAGCAGCCAGTTACAACAGGTTTAATGCTGAACTTCAAAAGACATCACATTCAGTTTTCATCACAAATTCTTCTGGCAGACCCACTGACTTACTCAAAGCAAAAGGCTATCCAGAGCCAAACAAAACTACAGCATGTGTGGTTTCTGAACACTGAAACAGTGGTTTGATAAAGCAGCAACAAACACTACCAGGTGGCAATGAGACTGCCTATCCCATGGCTCCAACAATGAAAAGAGGGTCTCAAAACCTCAGGTATTCCTACTGTCAGCTCTGGCTTTTATTACTCACGTAGTTTTATACAGATAAGATCCATTCATTCCAGGCTGAAGTTCCCAACAAAAGCACGGATGTTCTGGACTGCTGTACAGTTACCAACATTCTTAGGTCAGCTCCTTGAGGAAACCAATTTATAATCCCTTTCAATGGTGTGAAGACCCATTTCTACAATGCCACAAAGAGCATGACTAGCAGGCAGAGAGGTATTCAAGCACATGCATTCATGTGAAAGAACTGAAGAAGTTTTGCAGGAGAAAGTATTTTTTGTTGCCTTAATTACAAGAATCATCATTTTTAATTTAGATGATTCCATCCTTCTGCCAATCACTACATTTGGGATTCAGCCTCAAACAGCAGAATTTCATTAAAACTTTAGTTTCTTCAAAACTAAACCAAGGAATCCTTGCTAAGTCAATTGAATACGATGGTTAGATCCCTCACCCACAATGCAGTGATCTCCACCTTCTGGGAAAAATTTCCCAAGTCGGAGCAATAGACCTACAGTGACCTGCTGCCACCTCCAGAAAGTATCAAATACTGTCAGGAAGGCAAGACTGCCTGGTCACTAGGTTCTGGTTTCAAATAGCAATTTCACACCAACAGAACTTTTCTGTAGTCTACCCTTCAGGGAACCTATGACTGGATCTCCTATCTAGTGCTCAAGTGCAGCTTGTGGTGGATGACAACAGGACAATACAAACAGGTTGTGTTCCTGCTTGCAGAATATCTACCAGCTAAAACATGACTACTGTATATATAAATTTTGGGTTGGGCAAAGACAAAACCAAGACCCACTATACAAAGACAGCTGTATTAGAAATAGGATTCAGATAGTGAGGAAGGGGTGAACAGGCTACAAAATATTGCCAGAAACAGTAGCTAGAGAAAACTGAAATGTATGGTCTTGTCCATATAGCTTGTGGGAAAGAGAATTAGACACCTTAAATTTCAGACAAATGTGTATTATGAGACACTCCTGCTTGAGAATTACACACATTCTTGTATTACATTGTGTAGAAACATGTAAACATCATGCTACACAAATACAAAATATAAATGCAAGAGCATTTGTCCTTTCATGTCCTTTCCATGTATGTGGTTATAGACTCTCAGCAAAAAGGAAACAGAAGGCAATTCTAGCTTTGGATGATGAATGAACCCTACACTGCTTAGTGTTCACTACCTTTTCCTTCAAGCTTGTCTTCACCAAAACAAATACCACACAACAGGGAAGATAAATCATAGGTTGTTCCCAATTCCTTCTGGACAACAAGGCACTCCATTAGCTTCACACTGAGAACCTCAGAAGAACTGCAAGCAGGAAACATCTGCTAAATATATTCCAGTAGATTAACTCTTAACTATTGTTTGAGTTCTTAGACAGCCATAGCTATTTCTCCACATGTTTCAAGACTAGCTCACCATAGTGACCCCACTACTCTTTTATTAAGAGTTCAACAGTTGCCACTGTGTTCCTGCTTCTGGAGATTATATTCTCACCACAGAAGCTTCACAAGTTGTGAACAAAACCACTCTTGTGTACTGACAGTTGCAGGCTTGGAAAACTACAGCCAGCTCTGCATCTCTTCTTCATACTTCTGGGGATCAATAAAAGGCTTGTCAATTGACCGGATCATCAGCTCCCCACAGTACACACATTCAGCTGCCACAATATCATCAATGTCAGCTTTGATCTGTTCCCGGCTCTGCTGCCCCTTCCCCAAGCTAATGGTATCTGTGTCCTTGGGACGATGGTGACTCTTGGAAGGCTGACTGGTAGCTGCCAGCTTCTTCTGAAGATCTTCAAGTTTTGCCTGTTTATAGGCAGGAAGGTTTGGGAACACCGCTTGGAGGAGACAGTCATAGTGAAACATGTGGCCACACAGGAAAAGGTAAAAAGGGCGGTTTAGAAGTGGGAAGTCACAAGCAGCACATTTTTCCTGAGGCTCCACAGAGCCATACTTATTTCTCATTTCCTGGATGTCCTCTCGGATTCTCTTGGCACTCTGTGTGGCTTCCTCCATCTCCCTTTTCAGCTCCTCAATGTGCTTGTTGTAGTCCTCCAGAGAGTTACAGATTGCCTCCTTGAAATGGTCAATGGTGACAAAGTCTGGAAAGAATGGCAAGACATCTTCAATCTTCAGCAGGGCACAGCTGGAGAGGCAGGCCATTGCCTTCTTGACATCCTTCTCTTCCTGAACAACATGGCGAGCAATCTTTAACCAGAGCTTCTTCCGGAGTTCCTCATCATCTTCAGGGAGATCTGCACAGGACTTCGCAAGATCAACATCCACCTAGAAGTTGGACAGACAAGGAAATTGAGGTAAGCTTCCCTCTTCGTTTATCCACCATTCAACTTCAAAGCCTGCTGTCCATCATAGGAGGCATTAATAGATAACTTCTATTGCTACCTCATTGCCTAGGGCTGCACTACTGGCCTGCTCCTTGTTTACATGTCAAACACCTCTCCTCTCCACCAGCAGTCTCCTTGAAGATTTGCTTGCTAACCAGCAGACAACCACAAAGCCTAGCACTACAGTAAGGGCAAATCCACGTCATAGTATCTGTGCTGGCCACACACTGCAGCAGAGACATCGCAATGCCAATGAAAAAGATCCAATGGCTCCTTGAAGGTCAGACTAAGCTGACAAAGGCATTCTTCTGTGATAGTTATCATCATGTAGGAATAGGAATTAATTAGAATCCTGAACAGTAGCTATACAAGTATTGCATAAATGCAGATATGTTAAAAGTATTTGATGTTAGAGACCAAGCTTAAGGCACACAGTACTCCCCCTTGTACTTTCCATGCCTCTACCTTCAATTATGGCTTGTCACAGCCAGCTGTCTACTTAAAACAACCATGAAAGCAAGAAGCACATTAACAGAGACAGGTCTTTCTTCCTACTTAGCTGCACAGCTCCTGTACTAATGAAATCTGTTCAGTTCCTCTCAAATGCTCAGCTGGTCAAGATAACTTTCCTACATGTCATGGCATGCATGCACAGACACACATACCTGTAAGGCAAGATCCACAGCCTCCTCATATAATTCCATCACTTTGTAAATATGGACACATGCATGGTGGTGCCCATGCTCTGCACACAGGCGCAATGCATACTTCAAGTCATAGTGGATCCTGTTTGGGTTGGTTCCTGCTTGCTCCAGGTAAGATAGCAGCGAATCCGGCCGACACAAAGCATAAAGAGACAACAGGTAGTTGTGAATGGCTTGCTGAGTTTCCTCCAACTGATAGACACAGAATTCCATATATCTAATGGCTTCATTGATCTGCTGGGTGCTGGCACTCTGGCTATAGTTAACAAGGGCTGGAATGAGGTTCCTAGCATCCAGTCTAGAGCCCATAGAAATCCAAGCATCAACTACCTTCTTGGGAATATGCTGGATGAGGACTGGAGAGAACTTGTAGAACAGTTTCTCGTCTCTGTGCCTGGACAGCACATTTAGAGCCTCATCGTACTCATCGTGCTGGCAGTGGTGAGCTACTACACGCTCATAGTCCTGCATGATGACTGCAAAGTAGACCATGTGCTCTGTGTCCCCATGGCTTGCCAAGAGCTCATAAATAGATGCCCGGTTATTAAACAGACAGTCTTTGTTTTTAGGACTGCTCAGGAATGTGCGAAACTTCTCCCGTGTATCCAGATAGAGATTTCGCTGTGAGGGATCTCCTTCCAGTACACCTAACCAGTTCAGGTACAGCTCCGTTAACCACGTGGTCAGCAGAGTGGTCTGTGTCTTCTCAGAAGGCTTCAGATTACTCAGCTTCTTAATCAGAAACTCCATCAGGGCCTCTTCTTGCTTGGCTTCAATGAACTTAAGGGCAATTTCCTCAAAGTAGCTCTGGGTCAGCGCATAACACTTGGCACTGTCTAGATACCTCTTGTTTTGGAAGCAGTGCTCTGCTTCTTTTGCCAGCACAATATCTAGGCACTCTGGACGATCTTTACAATACTCTTTGGCTAAATCAAATTTGTTCATATTCATATACATCTTCCACACATCTCTAGATTCCCGCTGGACATGGTAGCGGAACACCACTTTCTCAGTGTGGATCCAGATCTGCTGGACTGTGGGATCTTTGATCATGCGTGTCAGAAAACCAAACTTCTCCAGGAACATATCTTGAAAAACAACCTGCCCATTCAGAGTGCACACAGCCTTCACTCGATCAGGCAGCAGCAGCAAGAAGTGGAACTGGGTAAGTACAATGGATATCGGTTTGTTCACAGTTATGTCAATATCAGAAGGATAAACCCAGACCCGTTCATCACTCAAAATTGAATCGGGACGGCTATAATCCAGTGTACCGTACAAAACACCATTTCCCATCATCCAGGCAAAGGAGCGTGGGTTGGAGCGCAGTTTTGGGGTGTAAAAGGCTATCTCACTGAAACCAAAGCTGGCCGGAAACTCCCGGAAGCTTGGCAAATGGTCAGCATGCAAAGCAAATATGGAGCTGAAGCCTTGCTGCTCTGTCCCTTCAGGCACTTTGCCAACAAACTGGAAAAGTCTCTTTTGAGTGGTGGCTATAATAAAAAATTTCCCTTCTATTCCTCGTTCAATCTCCAAGCAGCAGACTGGGGCAGGTCCTGATTCCTCCTCCAGAGTGTAGACCTGTCGGAAGTACTGGTCAGGATTAGTACTGAAGAGGCTTCCCTCACTGACAGAGATTTCAGCCTCATAGATCTGCCCCTGGGCTGTCCCCACCAGGATAGGCCCCGTGTTGGTCTCTGTACCAAGGAATTTGTTCCAGCCCACACTTTCAATCAAGTGGCCTTTCCAGCGGGAGAGTGCTCGCACTTTCTGAACACTTCTGTTCAGGTAAAGGCATTCACTGGTGTTCAGAGCAATCAGGAGATGGGAGCCTGCCAACAGGAGAGGGGTATGGGAAAGAGAAGGAGAGAACAAATTAAGACTGTGCCGAAGCAAGCCAAATTCCTGAGGCTTCTAATCCTCACATTTGATAAGCTCTGGTATCAACATACTTAATCCAAGACTTTCCCAAACATTCCTTAGAATGTGGGGGATTTCCATGCTGGATCAGAATGGTAGTCCATGAGTGGAAAACTTAAATTACTAGCCCCAGATGCTCCAGCGAGAACATATTCTTCTGTTTCAGTAAGTGTTCTAAGGATAAACAGTTCCCAGAGTTCTCTCCTATCCCTGGCAGCTGGTGGCAGATACAAGCACCCCTTTCCAAACCTCTGGTTTGTTTTTTACAATCAGGCAAGGCTACAGGGAGCTGCAGATGTTTTACAGTCCTTTCTAAAAGTCTTATACAGTCCGATACAGCCCAGGGTGACTGCAAAGATTTCCTTTAATTGTTTTTAACAGCCTCACTCAGAACTAATTGCATGTGTTCATTTCAAAGAGGTCCAAAGCAACAACATACACACAAGCCAGTGTGTTTTCCTAATAGCACAAGGGCAAATCAGCAGGCAGAGCCCCTGGGCAATGGAGTCCTGCCCACAGAAGAACCACCTCTTCTCCTTATTTACAGGACAGAAAGAGAACTCTTTTGCCAGCTCTTGTTATGCACATTCAGTTGCATCTTCTGCCAACCACTGTCTGTAAACATACATAGTCCGTTGCCTTACCTGTGTGGTCCAAAAACATCTTGTAGACTTTGGCTTCATCTTTGCGTCCCAGCTCCACCTGATTAGGTTCATCTGGCTTCCCAAGATCAATCCTGCAAACAGAAACCATGAAAGCATGTTTCCAACAACAGTTCATGTAGGCGTAATTGCTTACTGTTCTCCATCTTGGGTTTCCACCTTGGCTTTTTATCCAGTTTGTAAGTTAACAACTTCAGGGAAAAAAGACAAGAGAAAGAAAGGGGCAAGAGAAAATAAGCAATAACTGCAGGTCTCTGGCAGCGTTACCTGAGAAGGGTGTCTTTGCCAAGGCTCATACACAGCTGGTTAGAGGAGACCACTAAGCTGTTAATTTTCTCTGGAGGAGCAAAATCAATCCTTTGCTTGTTAAATATTGGTGTTTCCTTCTCCAGACGTGCATTCACATATCCTGGAGAAAGAACACAAACTCTTAAAACCAAAACAAGACCAAAACCCCACAACCACAACCCCACACTACACCAAATTCTAACCTAAAAAAAACTAGAAGGATCATCGCCTGCTCTGGGTTATACTAAAAAGGGAGCATGAACACAGAGAGCAGCACTTACACGGGTATGTATAACAGGAATGAAAAGGAGTAATACACTTTACTGCCTTGTCATGGGTATGTATAACTGTAATGAAAAGGAGCAATACATTTTACTGCCTTGTCACAGAACTGCAAAATTGTCACTAACATTAATTTGAAAGCACACAGAATTCCAGGGGAAGCCACAAAACTGTCACATAAACTGCATAAAAAGCTGAAAATGAGAGCAGAATCACAAAGTCATTTGTTTTCCTTGGTTGACATTTTATTTGCTCAAGACAGGAAAGAATGGCTGGTATCAGAGAAGACACAAAGAAGGCTCTGGTTCAACACTCCCACACAAGCTACCCATGAGACCATTATGGTGTTAATTGAAACATATTTCTGTCTTATTCCATTTTGGGATTGAACAAGCTATCATACTTGACACCCATCATTCACAAACTAAACCTATTTTGAAAGCCATGTTGAGGTTTTTTTGTATCCACATAGCAGACTTCATCACAGAGAAAAGTTTATTGGATTATTTGCTGCAGGAAACACAGCTGGAGGTCACAATGATGCTTTTGCCATAACCCTGTTTTACCAACCATAACACTATCCTAATTGCAGCTTTCCAGATGGAAGGCATGTGAACTACTTGTTAGAGCCAAAGCAATAACCAAGACCTGGTGACTGCTGAATCAATGCTTTAGTCTTGGCTTAAATTGATCCAAAACCCATTCAGACTGGTTTACTGTTTCATGGCAAATCCCCAGATGGAGCCAGACTAAGCTAATCCTCAAATCCTTTAAAACAAAACAGGCCTGAATTCTAAGTAATGCTCAGTTAAGGGGCATTACCCAGAGTTAAGGGTTGAAGTTGGGTAAGACACGGCGACCTTATAGGACACATGTTGCATTTTAAGCCCAACCAAGCAAACCTGACAAATCAATGAACTGAAAATGGGAGTGTACAACCAGAGCAAGTTAGCTCATGTGACCAGGTAAGTATTCAGCTAGTCAGTCTAGTCTCAGTCAGCTTGGGAAATGTGACATCCATAGGAACACGTGTTGAGGGATTACTTAAGAAAGCGGATAAGGCAAAGAATGGAGAAGTAAGGTCTGACTTGAGGGAAGTGACATACTTCTGTAGAAATATATTAATACATGAATAAATAAAGCTTAGAAGTCTATGCTTTTAAAACCCTCTGTGATCTTCAGTGCAGATGAGCAAAGCACAAGATGCAGTTCAAACTCATACCTCTGGCTACAGCAAAGACAAAAGCCCAGCCATCGGCAAGCAGTCAACAAACTGAAAGGCAAGTAGAGCTGTAACACCATGTGGCAGCACAGAGAATCAGCATGACAGATTTAGTTTTCATTGAAGATGAGTAAACCTCAACATCCAAAACCCTAAGACTTGCAGAGATTGTGCCATTCTATTCCTAAATGAGAACAGCACTCTTTATGGTCTTCCTATGAGGAAGCAAAAAAAACCCTACAAAACAGCTCAGATATGCCAGTGAACTGCAAAATAAGGCAGCATTCATATAAAACCAGACCCAAGTGATGACACTCATTAGCAAAATCCTGGAACATGTGTGCCTCCACAAACAGATCTTATCACAAAGTTTCACCCGTATCTGTCCCATGAGACAAGTTTTCCCAGGGACTGAATTTCCCATACGCACAGTCTTACCTAAGCCTCTGACAAAGAAAACAGCAGAGGATCAGTCTGACCACACTACCTCAAGCTTAAAAGCAAGACAGACTGGTATACTACTACCCACATGCAATGAACTGATACCTAAAGCAAGCAGATCCATGCAGCAGTTAGCCTGAACAGGAAGATTAAAACCCAAAAAGAGGTATACTAAGTTAAGGCCATTCATAGCCAAAGTAGCTAACTAGGAAGATGTAAACTTACAGAAAAAAAGAAATCTGGAATTGTATTTCAGAGACAACAGACTACTTCCATTCTAAAGAGCGTAGGCCTGACACTAGCCTGGGACTAACAGCACCACTTCAAAGCACACTAAATGCCTATAACCTCCCGCACGTTATCCTGAAAATCTCTAATTTCAGCCCTGTTGCTGTTGAAAAAGCCAGTGTAGCAGTGGAAAGCAGCCTACTAACATTACGAATCCTTCAATTGCCTATTCCACCAATGCCTTCTCCTTGACTCCACCTCACCACTAGACCAGCTGCAGGATCTTTAAAGGATTCTTGCTCTAGAGGAAAAATGCACATACAGGAACAGACAAAGCAACCACAATCTGACTAGGGAGCCTTTTGCTCTGCACGTATGTTTTCTTCTCCCACATTGAACCACATCTTAAACATTTCCCACTTATGCAGATGTGCATTCCTTTATTTCCAGTGAAGCAAAGCAGATGTTCTTAATTTCAGATTAGGGAGCTGCAATGCCACAGTTTAAATTTGCTGGTATGAACTGTGCTTCAAAACTTGAGGACCAAGCTCCCAAGCTACAGATTCACATCATGTCATCTCAACAGATAAGTAATAAATATAAACACATTTATATATATAGAAAAAGGAGGGATTACCCTGAGAGGAAAAACTCACATACCAACGGGTCAGCAAGTCACAGCCACTCAGGCAGTCCTGAACTGTTTTTCAGATTGCCACTAAGCAAAACAAGGCTGACTGAGACACAGGAAGGAAAGGGAACAAATAGTATCTATACACAGGTAGGGGTTTAGAGCTGGAGTGGGAGAGTTTGTGTTTGTTGGATTTTGGGTTGTTTTTTTTTGTAATTCAGCCATAGTTCAAGCCAGTGGATTGGATTCCAGCATTCTTGACTCTTTAGGGCTGTATCCATTACAACTATTGCTAATTGCTGTTAGTGTAGAATCATCACCACTAACATGAGGATTTTAACTAGTGTCTGTAGCAGGAGAAAGATTAACTTCTTTAACTTCCAGTCCTGTATACAAAGGAGATGCCTATTTTATAACATGCATTCCTTTCAAACAGTGCCTTCCTTCATCCTGACCCCTTCTGTTCAGGCTGAGATTCTACTGCAGCATTTCCCATTACTGATTTCTGGGCAAATCTGCATTTTTCCATAGAGCTTTTAAACCATTCAACGATCTAAGATCACAAACTTCAGTCAAGCCTAGTGGGTCTAAACAGGTCTTTTTGTTCTGGAACTGCAGCCTTTGAAGACAATGCAGCAATACTTTAGGTTGGCAACAGGGTCACTGCTTGGTTATCCACAACTTGAGAAACAGCACCTGCAGTTTAACAAGCACAGGGACTAAAACATTAACAAGCTCATTAACTGAAATAGAGAAGTAAGTTTTAACTTCCAAAACTTCCAACCTAACTTCAAGGATTGCTTTCAGGAAGTTAGCTATTTGTTGCATTTTTTTCCAAGGTCAACTTCAGATTGCCTACAACTTCTACCAGCCCAAGTTTCATGCAAAATTACCAGGTCTGATTTAAGGACAACTAAAACCCTGATGAGGACGTACCTTTGCGATTCAGCAGTTTCCCAAACTTCCTTTGCCAACATCAATTGTCAGCAAACAGGCAGATTTCTCAACTGTAACAGTCATGACTGGAGACAGGGTTGCAGCCCTCAAGAAAAGCTGAGTCCTTGAAAATTTATCTTATGTAACACAGCTTGTCCCAGCACTGTTTTGCACAATACTTATTCAGGACACTTAATCTTTATCTAAAATTACACAACAAAATAACTATGCATGTTAAAACAAACAGAGGGGACATACCTATTTCAGTACCTAGACTCATGTAATGAGTAATTCTGTCTTTGTATTTGCACTCAATAATATACATAGTATAACAGAATCCATCAATTCTTAACACCTATATAGAATCACAACCTAGTTTCCCCAAAGGTTAACAGCTAGCAACACTGTGTAAGGAAAAAACTTGAAGGAATATGCCCATCCGATTCCAAGCACTCAAAAAAACATTGTGAGGTGACATCAAACAGGGAACAGTTATTGAACCTAACAAACCTTGAATTTATCATAGGACATACTCGCCATCTGTTTGCTTTCTCTCGCATGAAAGAAACAACTAACTGGTCATCACACCGTTACTTTAGATTGATTGCACACCTCCCTGGGCAGTACTGTGTACCAAAGCTTCACAGACCTGTTAGAAAAGCTTAACAATGATATAGATTGCTTTCTTGGTAACCTTCTTCAGCAGTAACCTTGCCACTAACCTAACCACTCTAACAACTAAGCCTTTGGTAAACTGCCCCTGGGTTTGGAAACTAACCCCATGCAGGTACAGCTGTGCACACAGCCAGAATACTGTAACAGCTGGGTTCCTCAGAGGGGAAGAAACAGCCAAGAGCTGATCTCAACTACCACAAGTCCTGAACTGAATAGTGCTGAGGTGTGGTTATAACTTGTGACTATGAAGGCACTTCACATACACATTTCCTACACACATCACTACACACCACAGGGCCTATGGCCTTATAAAGCCATCCCACAGATAACCAGCATCTCAGTTTTGCTAAGATGACCTGCATTACAGAATCATTGGAGCTGGAAGGGACCTCTGAAGATCATCTAGTCTAACCCTCTGCCAAGGCAGGGTCACCTACAGCAGATTACACAGGCTGGTTTTGAATGTCTCCAGAGAGACTCCACAACCCACCTGGGCAGCCTGCTCCAGTGCTCTACCACGCTCAATGTAAAGCTGTCCTTCCTCATGTTGAGGTGAAACTCCTTGTGGTTTAGTTTATGGCCATTGCTCCTCATCCAGTGCTGTGCATCACTGAAAAGAGTCTGGCACCATCCTCGTGGCACCCGCCTTTGAGATACTGATCTGAATTGATGAGATCTCATCTCAGTCTTCTCCAGACTAAACAGGCCTGGCTCCTGCAGCCCCTCCTCATTACAGGGATGCTCCAGACCCCTGATCATCCTCGTGGCCTCCACCGGACCCCCTCCAGCAGCTCCCTGTACTGAGGAGCCCAGCACTGGAGCCAGCGCTCCAGATGTGGCCTCATTAGGGGTGAGCAGAGGGGGACGATCACGTCCCTCAACCCGCTGCCACACTCCTCCCGATGCACCCCAGGGTGCTATGGGCTCGAGGGTCCCCTGCACCAAAACATTCCACACGACAAGCGACGCAAACCCAAGCCGGAGCTGACTGCTCTGCCTTACACCGGCACCCGGCGGCACCCGGCGGCACCCGGCAGCACCCCGCACCGCCTGACACGCCCCGCTCCCCACCTACCGGAGTGCGGGATGCCCACGCTGGCGCGGCTGTGCTGCACGGCGGCGGAGCGGTACAGCGAGTCCTCGTACTCGTCCAGAATGGACGCCATGGCGGACACCGGCACCACAGGCCCGCACCCGCCACTTCCGCCCGCGCTCAGCTGACCCGCGTCACGTGCCTGCCCCGCCGCGCACTGCGCCTGCGCTGCTGCCCCCCGTCTCTCCGTGAGGGGAAGGGGTCGCTCTTGTCAAGATGGCGGTGGGAGGGTGACGGGATTCGGCTCCGTCTTTAGTCGCAGCCCGGACCTTCCTGTCCCTAATAACACATTAAAGTCAGCATGTAGCTTTGCTTCCCGGTGTTGAGGTGCATGCAGCCACAGCAGGGCTGGCAGGCTCTTTGCATCTCTGGTGCCTGCAGGTTCTGCTCGCTGCCGTGCTGTTGTGTGCAGCCATGCCCGTGATAACTGACCCTGTGAGTGTAGCAGCGTGCTGTAGTGGGATCGCTTAGTGGTGATAGCACTGCAAGCACGGTATTCGCTGCTGTATTTTTTGCAGTATTTTTAGGACAAGAGGCTGCACGGGGCGGGGGGAGGTTTGACGTGAGGATCAGTTTCTTCACAGAAAGGGTGGTCGGGCATTGGAGCAGTCACTGTCCTCGAAGGTGTTCAAACACTGTAGATGAGATGAGGCGCCCAGTGATACAGTTTAGTGGTGGACGTGGCAGTGCTGGGGGAACAGTTGGGCTGGATGATCTTACAGGTCTTCTCCAACCTACTATGACTAGTGACTGCAATCAGGAGTTGGCTGATTGAGCACTCCTATACAAATTCCTGTGCTGCCACTTGTCTGTAGCCCTGCGTGGTACAATCTTGGCTTTATTGCTAAAATAATGCTTGTGGCACAGCAGATGGGGATAGAGCATAAGGCTGCCCATGAACTGTGCTAGATTTGCTCTGCAAGTTTCTTCCAGCTTTATACACTCTGTGGGCGCAGGTTATGTATCACTAAATAGTACTTAAAATCTGGCGTTTTCTTTTGTTCTGATACGCCAACAATTATTCTTTATATTTTCACCGTCTGGCTTAAACTAGCAGAATTTATATAACAATGGCATTAACAAAAAGACTAATCTCTTATGCAACACTTCTGGTTTTCATCGTAGATAAAATTAATACAGATGTACATGTTTGTACTATATTACACTATGTACTGTATATTATATGTAAACTTCACAACACTTTCTTAAGGAACAGAGCAGTGTTGTCCCATAGTGTACAGCACAGTTTGCAACACACAGGGATCCATTACAAGACAGAGGAAGTCTCCCACCCTTAGCTTGCACCTCAGGTGGCGGTGGGGCACCACCAGTAGCAGTTTGCTCCTTCCTGCCCTTTTACAGGGCACCTCACCCCCATGCACAAGGGCTCCAGTCTGCATTGCTCAGCCTCAAGCCTTCTCTTTAAGGCTGAGCTGGATACACAGGTCCCAGGCTAGCCGGGTTCTGGAGGCTCCCATGGTGTACTCTGCAGGGTCACCTCTGCCTGGCTCTTCCTGACTCAGCCTGCCTGCAAGCGCTGGCAGGAGCCCAGCCCCAGCCTCTGCTGTTTGCCCTCCTCATGTGGCAGCTCTGAGCCAGACAACAAAACCACACTCTTTTGCTCTTCAATCATCTTGATCATTATAAACAGCAACTGTTCTCTTTCAGCTTCTCAAAAGATGCACACAAACTAATTAGGTTTAGGGTAATGAGGTAGGAAGGGACTTCCTGGGACTATCAGATCCAGTCTCCCACTCTTGTAGATACCACATCATATAGTTCTCTCTGTGTTCCTATCAAGCTGTATCTGAAAGCATGGGTATTTTTGACCCTGACCGCTCCAGTTCGTACCTGTTCCAAATATGGATTACTCTCATGATTTCAAGCCCTGATTTCCAGTCTAACATACACTGTGGCTAGTCTGAAACCTTTTGTTTGTGTTCAAACACTGTCCTTTAGTGTACAGGACGTTTTAGAGCATTAATTCCCTTTGCAAAAATCATCACCAATTATAGCCCTCACTCAGATGAACCAAATCCAGGATTTACCAAACCAAGGAATTCTTGCTTTTTTCCTCTTAAAAATGGGAGACAGTTAATTTCCTGGAGCATCACTGCATCAGCGCAGCTTCACCTCTGTAATGGGGTGAGCATAGTTTGATCCCTCATTTCAGAGGACTCACCCTGTTGCCTTCAACAGTGATGCTTGTACATGTCTCTTTTTAGTCACAGTTTTAGCAGCAGAAGACTGAAGGGTTATTTGGTAAGGGGGAAATAAATTCTTTAAATGCATATGGAAATTTGGCTACCTTGAAATGTGTGCACAAATGCCTCACTGTCCAGCTCTGTGGGGTGTTTCTATTCAAAGCCTAGATCAGGACATATCTTTGTGATCTTGGTTGGGGAGAGAAGTTCTCTTTTCTCATTCTGGCAGGTGTTACTGCCAGTTAGGGCTGATACCTCATGAGAAACCTGTGTCTGCTTTTAGTGTGGTTAAATTGGAAGCCAGAGTCTCACCTTATTTGGAAATGAAATATCAGCTAATGCTAATCCAGGCCCACAGACCTGCTCCATCCATCTGCACTATCATCTGCTCTGATTATTTCATTTACAAACATGTGCAATAATTATACGCCAGTGCTGCATTCACAGATTTGGTATTCTGAAAAGCAGGGCAGAGTAAGGGTTGCAGGAAGAAGATTTATGAGCTCTTTGATTCACCAGGAATGCATGGAGAATCAGATGATTACATTTGATGTGTAAGTCTAGTGGTGTAAGTCTGTAAGAGGGACTTGTGGGAGAGAATGGAGTGAGTGATTTTGGTGATATGCTTGGATTAGAAACCTAAATTCTGGTCTTTTATTTTTGAGTAGCTGTGGTCACACTTGCAGTAATTTTGGCTTAAACAGTTACCATTTTCTTCAAGTTATGGACACAGCTCTAAACATCTGGATGCTGTATGGCATGCTAATCTCCTCAACTGCCTTGAGGAACAGATTCTAGATAATGGTATTGACAAACATGTACTGTGTCCAAGGTCCAGATTCCCAGCAGATAAAGCCTGTCTAAATCTGGGCTCCCACAACACTGCCTCTGTCATTTCTGGCTCTCCCGTCTGGCCCACACTTTGTGCCAGTATTACTGCATGTATGACTGCAGAGTGAGCTAGTTCATTGCCCCACAGCAAATGGCTTTGTGATCCACAATCTAAACACAAGTGCTGCTGCAGAAGAGAGGGCAGGAAGACATGGCTGTGGGAAGACTTAAGGGCAGAACACAGCTCAGATTTAAATGACTTAAACTGCCCCCAAGATAACCTAGTGACAGTTATAACTTGAATTATACCCTGGACTTCTTCACAGATTTCCACTACAGACATGGTACTGATCATCACTCACTGGATATAGAACATTCCTTCAGTGTGATCAACATAAATATTACATTGCATTCATAGAAGCTGTAGGCAAATAGGTGTATTTCCCCAAACACAACAGCCTACATAAGTTACCAACAAAGATGCTGGCCATCAGGCAGGTTACAGACTCTCAGACAACCCTGTAACCTACTTCCCAAGAGTGACACTTCCCTAGTGACACAGTCTTTGAGTGACCACTTGAATTCTATGTCCAACTTTACAGCCATGGCTGTGTACGCATGGGTATCACAAGTTACCCATGAGAACCTGAACTGGAACCTTTATGGGAAGCCATATAACAGTTATAATTTACACTGGAGGAGAGCAAAGCTTGAAAGAGTTTGCTGGAGCTCAATTCATTAGCCATTAGCCCACCTCCTAAGCTTCATACTCATTGTCAGAAGCAGACTTCCTGCAGACTAGCGAACCCTGGGTGGAACCATATTATGCCAGAGCAGCACTCACAGACCTGCATACCACAGCTCCTCTGACATCTACAGAAGTTTTCCCACATGGGAGCTATCAAGGTCTGTTGATGCTACACGTACACTCCAGAGCATGCTGCCCTTCGGAAGCAAACAGTGCCCTCATAGAAACCCTACAGGTGCACTCCATCACTCCTGGAATAGGCATACAAACACCATAGGGAAAGGACAAAACCAAGCTTTTGCAGTGACAAAAGCTTTTCCCCACCACCAGCACCCTGTGGCTAATCCCTCAGTTCTGATCCTCAGGGGAGATCTACGGATGATAAGCTTGAGAGCTGAAACTGATAACTTGGTGGAGACAGTGGTTTTACAGTGTTTTATGGTTTTCCTAGGGATCCCTCTTCAGCCCAGCCCCTCACTGTTAGGTGTTAACTGCCTGCCTTTCACAAGGGGAAAATGGACCTTATCACCTTCCTCTTGCTAATTCCCCTCGTCATTCTAGTTAAGTGTTAACTCCTCTTTTTGTGTGAAGTGTCTTAACTGAGTGACATAATTAAATTCAGCTCAGAGCATTGTCTCCCAGCCTATCCTTAGTCTTAAATTTGCTGTTTCTGTTTCAGATTTAAAGAAAGGGCTTTGAGTGCCTTAAACCGTGCCCATTTTCCCACATTTTTGAGTTGATTTATTAAAAGATGTACTTTCTCCAGCAGATGGCAACATACTTCTAAAGTATTTATAGAACATCGGAGAGGTAGAACTCCTTCCTGTACAAGTCAGATAGGAGATGAATTTGTCTTTGAGAAAGGGGCCGAGTACAATATAGGTGCCTATCTTTCCTTGGACCATTCACAAATATATTGTCTATGCTAGTGGCATTGTCATTTCATTTAAACTTATTATTCCAGTATCTTAAAATGCACTATAATGTTGTTGTAGCTTTTTGCCTCTGCATTTAACTAGAGTGGCTATGAACGGATGAGCCAGAACATCCCTGTGCATCCCTCATGGCGTTGCTTTTATTTCCAAGGAGTAATAAGGTAGTTCAGACACCAAGATAGCGAGAGCTGTATTCTCACATTGTTTCTCCTCCTTTTGTAATTTTTCTAAATGGCACTTCAAAATCACACATCCCTAGTGCACACCAGAAATACCCATTAGGTGCTATAGAATCAGCAATAAAGGATTTTTATTGCTGTGGACTCAGAAACTATGGAGCCCCTATCAATCAGGAGCTGCATATGGCAAAGCAAATACAAGGATCTTTCTTCCACTGATTATAGCTGTCGTAATTTTTCT